TGAACAAGAGGCAATTTCCGAGAACTCCAGCGCAAACTCTCCTTACATGCTGCGTGCCTTGAACTGCATAAAACACCACAAAAGCAATGATTCGAGACTGGAAGCACGGAACTTGGCGTGGGTGCCATCTGGGGCTTGCCAGGCCAACTCAGGCTAAGTGGTATGGAGGTTAAGGCAAGGAGAAGGCAAGACACTCAAACACAACAAAACAAACACACGACAGTGTTACGTCAAAGACCAATCGTTTAGGTCCAAAAGGCTAAAGACGTCAAGGGCGGAAGAAACCTGCAGCGACTAGGTCGCTTTGGCAAGTAGGGGTTCTCATTCTGGAAGGCTAATGCATAGACGAGCAGAGCTACTGCTGGCGCTGCATTGATGATTGTTGGTCTCTCGACTTGGCTCGGTGTCAATCAACATCAACATAAACAAGCGAGTTGTCTCGAGCTGAGCTGAAGTTGTGGTTGATTTTCAGGGCCTTGACTTCTTTTGGTCAGTGTAGCGTTTATACTGGAATGGTAAACAACCCGAAATCCCACGCCTTCACGGGTCATGTCATCAAACAGTTGTCTCAGAAGAGTGCGTTTCTTAATTTGCACACATAGTTGAAAGCGGTTATCCAACGTGAATCCTCACATGTCTCATTTTCGAACTGATGGCTTGACGATCACCGATCGTGAACGTGAAAGATGGGGGGGGCCACCAAAGAGAAGGGCGAGAGAGTCTAAAGACTAGAGAGTTTGGCTGGCATCACGTATCAGAGTGGACTGGCCTAAGCGTTCTGCAAGGCGTGGTCTGTTTGGCGGGTATATTTAAGCAAGGAGTTGTTTTAAGTGTGATCGCCTGAACGGTTGGAAATGTGCTTTACAGTAGTAGCTGCATTATTTATGTGCAGGGAAGATATGGCGTGAGTTTCTCAAAAGGAGAATACGCGACGATCTAACCGAAGGAAAGGAGAGGAACGTTTGTGAGAAGGGAACTGTCGATGATTGTATTGACGCAAATCAATGAGTGATGATGCTCGGATCCGATTGAGAATGGTTGGAGGTGGGAGTACGTACTGTTCCCGATAAGCTCCTTATCGCCCCGCAGATCCTGGCCTCAGAAAAAAAATTACAGCATGAGCCAAGACCAAAGTCAATAGTGGCTGCTTCAACACCAAGGAACCTCCAATTTGTCGATAACCGTCTCCCACAATCTGGCGCATAATTGAACCGCCATGGAGTCCAGTTCAAAGCGTCGGAAGCTAGGCCACTCTGCATCTGGTCTGAGACACGATGCTCTCATTGATTTCGAGGCTCGCAGCTCCGCCAGAGTCTCAACCGCTAGCACTTTTGTCCTCCAAACAGACGAGCTACTCAAAGAGGCAAAACTTGACTATGAAAAGGCATTGAAGGATGTTGATGCAAACCTTCATCGATTGAAGGAAGCCATTGACACTGCGACTCCCCACGGACCTGAGCCTGTTCGTACTATGTGCAAAGCCGCCAATCTTCAAGACTAACAGATTTTGTAGATCACCGAAGTCACGAGTCGCTTTGAGAAGAGCCATCGCATTGTCATACCTTATCCCGATCCGAAGCCTGCTAAAGATGCTCCTTACAAGCTTTCTTTTGAGAAACCAGCTTCATACAATGTCGTTGGTAGCTATGTCGCCAAGACCATGGTCAAGTCCCAGGCGCAATTTGGCATCGACATGGTAGTTCAGATGCCCAAGACCATGTTCCAAGAGAAGGACTTTACAAGTATGCGATATTTCTACCGCCGAGCATATTACATTGCCTACATTGCCGCCAGCGTCAAGAAAGAGTTGGGAGACTCGATGGATATCGGCTTTGAATACCTGAACGAGAACCCGCTTCTGCCTATACTTGCACTTCGACCCAAGTCCGCCGATGAGGAGACCGATGCCAAGGAGATCAATGGGAAACCTTCAAAGAAGAAGGCGAAGGTTGCGAAATCCCCGTATACTATTCGACTCATCCCTTGCGCTCCCGATGGCCTCTTCCCCAAGCCAAAGCTACTTCCTAGTTCTAACAACAACCGAAGTGGAGAGTCCGATGACAAAAAGACACAGACCGGAACTCCTTTCTATAACTCTACTTTGAAAGCTGAGGAAACGTTCATCTCTTACCTGCGTGTTCTTACGCACGCCAAAAACGAGTGCCCCGCCCTGACTGACGCCTGTGTATTGGGAAGAATCTGGCTGCAGCAGAGGGGTTTCGGGAGCTCCATCTCGCAAGGTGGGTTTGGCCATTTCGAGTGGTCTGTCATGATTGCTCTCTTGCTTCAAATGGGTGGACGAAATGGACAGGCAGCGCTTTCAAACTCTCTTAGCAGCACTGAACTTTTCAAGGCTGCTGTTCAGTTCCTTTCGACCACTGATTTCAATAAGAAACCCTTCGTTTTCGGATCCTCCAAGATAAGTGCCGACTCTGTCCGAGAAGCTGGCCCTGTCATGTATGACCCAATTCGAGAACTCAACGTGCTGTCAAAGATGAGCCCCTGGTCTGCGAGTCTCCTTCAAATGCACGCCAAGTCTACCACCGACCTCCTCGCTGATGAAGCTGCTGACAAGTTCGACCCGACATTCATTGTCAAGTCCGATGCTCCCCTGCAGACATTCGATGCTATCTTCGAGATTAAGAGCAAGGATATTCCTAAGTCTAGTAGCTCTACTGACTGCAGAGGACATGCGTGGGACTTTAGCTTAGAAGCACACAAGGTACTCACAAAGGCCTACGGCACTCGTGCTCATCTTGTGCATTTCCAATTGCCTACCAGAGCTGGTTGGTCATTGGGCTCCGCGCCAACTTCAAGTTCTGGTAAGCTTCAATTTGGGGTCATGTTCGAATTCGCCCAGATGTCCAGACAGATGGAGCATGGTCCCGCAGCAGAAGAACAAAAAGAAGCTGCCAAGTTCCGACAATTCTGGGGCGAGAAGGCCGAGCTGCGTCGTTTCAAAGATGGCAGTATTCTTGAATGTGTTGAGTGGTCAAGCAAAGTCCCATTCCAGATCTGCGAGGAGATCGCAGCGTACATCTTGAAGCGACACTTGAAGGTTGCCAGCGAAAATATCATTGCTTTTGGGGCTGGCTTTTCCAACATTATCACATTCTCGCATATGGATAAGGAGGCTTTCGATGCTGCTCGAAGGGCGTTCCAGACCCTCGAATACGATATTCGAAATCTTGAAGAATTGCCGCTGCAGATTAGACAGCTTTCGCCGGTTTCACCAGCTGCTAGATATGCTTCGGTTGATGCTCCAAGCCCAGGCTTCCACACAGGTACTATTGAGCCTATAGATGTGAACCTCTATTTCGAGGCATCGAATCGATGGCCTGAGAACCTAGTGGCCATTCAAGAGACCAAGATTGAGTTTTTGCTGGACTTTGACAGGCGTCTCACGGCCGCGAAAGAAAACATTACAACCTACCTTGGCCGGGATAATAGGGAGATCGGCATCGAGAATTTGGCGTATCTCGATATTATCTACGAATCTGGCGCGGCATTTAGATTGAGAATCCATGCAGACTTGGAAGATACCCTGCTTGAGCGCCAAATCAAGAACAAAACACTTGATGCTCACATTCGAGAACAGTCGGAAGCAGTCCTGGCTAGGACCAACTGGTTCTTTGCTACCCTACCAATTCATACACAGACTATCTCAACCTTTTGCACACGCCTTCATCCTCTGTCACAGACTATCCGCTTGGTAAAACACTGGTTCAACTCTCACAAGCTTTCAAGCCACATCAGCGAGGAGCTTATTGAGCTCTTCGTTCTGCACGTGTTCTTGCAACCATACCCATGGAGGGCCCCCACGAGTGCCTCAACAGGTTTCTTACGCACCCTGACATTCCTGTCGCGCTGGGATTGGCGTGACGAGCCTCTGATTGTCGACTCTGCAGAGGAGCTGACTGATGACGATCGCCATAACATTCGCAAAGAGCTTGAGTCTCGGCGCAAAAAGGACCCCAACATGAACCACACAGTCATGTTTGTTGCTACCTCCAATGACACTTCTGGCCTCGCTTATACCCGCAATGGACCTTCTAAGCTCATCGCTTCACGTATGACACGACTGGCCAAGGCTGCGTGTAAGCTTGTCAAGGACAGCGGATACCGTATTGATGCTACTGATCTTTTCGAAACTTCGCTCGAAGACTACGATGTTCTTTTCCATCTTTCTCGAAAAGCTATTCGCTCAATACTTCGAGAGGCTGCTTCTGACCCCTCAGCCCGCCGTCACTCGCAGTTCAAGAACCTCGATGATCGCACAGGTCGCGCACCACTCCCCATCCGTGCTCATCCTGTCGACGTGTTGATGGAGGAGCTACAGCGTGTATACGACGACTCACTTGTATTCTTCCGGGGAACCAACAACAGCGACGAGGACGATGCTGTGATAGGGGCGATCTGGAACCCAAAGCTTCAGCAGCAGAAGTTCCGAGCTGGTCTACCTTATAATTTCCACAAGGTAAACGACGAGGATGGAGATGTAGTCGTGGTGAACCGTAAGGCAGTGTTGTCAGAGATTGCTAGGATTGGTGGCGATATGATTAGAAAGATTGAGGAAGTCGAGTAAAGCTGACATACGGTTGAAGAGGCTAAGACATATTGGAGAATACCCATGCATATAGATCAAGATATAGACTCAGGCTTTTATCTTGCGAAACGATTTTAAAAGTTTAATTTACATCAGGCGTCGAATTTACCTGACATTTATAGTTTCGGAGTAAATGGAATCTGATTGACTTATAAGATCGATGGATCTTTTTGGTGGGATGAGGATCAAAGATACGTACATACCCCATTTGATTGCCAGTAGTGGAAACAGCTTAACGCAAAAAGACGCGTCTTAACGCGTTTCACTTTCACCCCTCGACCACTATCTTTAGCCAATCTTCCAGTCCCATCACTGCGACAACCAGCTACGACAACTTCGAATTCATAGGCGCTCTGGAACTGATCACGACTAAGATTGTTGTCGATTAATCAAAATGCCCCATTCTGTCGAAGCAGAAGCCATGTCCTCCCCAAGCAACGTTAAGGACGAGCCTATGGAGGAGACAGGAATCTCTGATGAGGCTCCTAATGCGACTGAGGCAGATGTCAAGATGGACGAGACAGAAGACGTCAAAAAGGAAGCCAAACAACTCGAGGATCTATTCGACGATGTCGACTCGGACGAGGAGTTTCCCAGTTCCGCCGCTGTTCAGCCAAGCTCACAAGTTGCACCGCTTTTGTACGTAACATCCGCCTTTGGGCACAGTGGTTTAACTAATTGGTTATAGCGATGCTATGACATTGAAAGCCTCAGATCCTGAAGTCATGCGAAGCTTCTATCAGCGACTATTCCCATGGCGATACCTATTTCAGTGGCTCAATCACAGTCCAACCCCAACAAACGACTTTGGCAACCGAGAGTTCGCTTTCACTCTCCAGAACGATGCCTACCTCCGATACCAATCCTTCCCCACTGCCGATATGTACGCGATCTTGTTTCTCAATGCGATTTATACTCATGTTGTAACAGGCTCCGCAAGGACGTTCTCCGATTAATGCCCTCTCGTTTCGAAATCGGACCCGTGTACACCACCAATCCCCGGGACCGAAAGCAACTCCGCAACTCATCCGCCTTCAAGCCCCTCGCGAAAGAGCTATGTTTCGATATAGATTTGACAGATTACGATGATATTCGAACATGCTGTGACAAGGCCAACATCTGCAACAAGTGCTGGCAGTTCATGACAATGGCTATTAAAGTGGTAGATGTTGCGCTGAGAGAAGACTTTGGCTTCAAGCACATCATGTGGGTGTACTCAGGACGACGAGGTGCTCACGCCTGGGTTTGCGATAAGAAGGTTCGAAGCATGGACGATCAGAAGAGAAGAGCAATTGCAGGCTATCTTGAGGTGGTCAAGGGAGGTGCACAGAGCGGAAAGAAGGTGAATGTGAGGAGGCCATTACATCCTCATTTGGCGTGAGTTCATGACCTAGACTCTTGTGAAGACGGTACACTGATTCGTCGTAGACGGAGCCTGGAGATCCTGAAAACTCATTTCCAAGAAGACGTTCTTGATGTCCAAGACCCATGGGCTTCTGCTGAGCAATCTGAGAAGCTTTTGCAACTTCTCCCAAACCAGAACCTTAACGAATCACTAAGAAGGAAATGGGATGCCGCTCCAGGACGTGCATCAGCCTCAAAATGGGCTGACATTGACGCTGTAGCAAAGTCAGGCGCCAGCAAAAACCTCGACGCCAGACAGCTCCTTGAAGCCAAGCAAGACATCGTTTTAGAATACACCTACCCCCGACTGGATATTGAAGTCAGCAAGAAACTCAACCATTTGCTGAAGAGTCCTTTTGTCGTGCATCCTGGTACTGGCCGAGTTTGTGTGCCCATTAACACAAAGAATCTTGAGGACTTTGATCCTCTAGGCGTGCCTACGGTGCAGGAACTTTTGGCCGAGATCGACTCCTGGAAGGGGGAGGAGGAGGAGGGTGGTAAAGGCACAGCTGACTGGGAAAAGACAAGCCTCAAGCCATATATCGAGCAGTTCAGACATTTTGTCAATGGATTGATGAAGGATGAGAAGGATGTCAAGGTTAAGCGGGAGCGGGAGGATGAAACCATGGACTTTTAGATGTGATATGAGATGGAACAGACTTATGAACAGTATATTTGGTATACTTGGTATTTACTTTTGGAACTGGCTGGCGCAGTAAGGCACTAATACAGATATTTCTACTTTGAGGGAGCTTCCACTTCAGGGGTACTCGTTTGAGCGGTGGTCTCCTCAGCATCAGGGTCCTTGATCTCTTGATCTTCCTCCTCAGGTTCCTCGACCCCTTGCCCCTCAGCTTCTTCTGCTTCACCTGAATCATCCCTCTGGTCTCTCAGTTGACCGCCCTTGCGCTTAGGGATGACACTCATGAACGCATCGCCCCAGTTCTCATACTCAAGCCACTTGAGCATGATCTCAACTACGTGGTTTGTCGCTAGCACCGTCCGGCTCTGCATCACCATGTACTGGCCGATAGGCAACCGAGCCGTTCGGATGCCACGTTCCCTCGCTCGTTTGTAGCACAACCCCTTCTCGCGGTTCTTGTCGACGAGGCCGCCGATGACATAGCTTGTGTTGGGTTCGAGGCGTTCGAGTGTGTACGGCGAGTCTGATGACAGGTAAACGATGTCCTGGTACTCGGGAGCGGGCTCAGGCTCGGGATCAGGCAAGGGGAGAGGGTCCTTTTCGTCTCTAACCCAAGGGATTCTGTTGTCCAGGCTCCTCTGGAGTTGATCGACCATGCGATCACTCGGATCCTTCATCTTCTCCCGAGCCTGCTTCGCACACTCGATGAAATCTCCGTCCACAAAGTCAATGCCCTTCCAATTCTTGTGTTTGTCATCAAGGATCTGGTGGAACCGCTCAGCCAGTTTTCCATTCCAGTCCGAGACGAAGATATGTGTACGATATTTCGCATTTTTGTTCTCCGAGTATGACCTGGTGATTTGGCTGCCGAGCGAGATGAGCTCCTTCTCGCGCATGTACTGCTCAAAATCACAATCGAAGATGAGTGTGACAGGCACATTGACTGAAGGAGGTTTCTGCTGCCTATTGGCATTTGGATCGATGCCCTGAGCGATAAGTGCTGCTCTTTCCTCACGCTTGCGGACTTTGCGTGCGACTCGACTATCCTTTCGCTTCTGCTTGCGCTCCTCTTTTCCGGCTTCCCATTGCTGCTGTCTTCTCAAACGCTTGAGAGCGTTCTTGGACATAGGCTCGGCGGCTTCGTCATCCGCAGGCCGTTTTTGAGGAACAGTTGAGCCCTCTGCAAGAGGCACATTATCTGTTGGCTTTGTGTGAGAGTCGGCGGTGACTGTTTTCTCACCATGTCCAGTGTTGGCTGAGTTTTCTGGTAGTGAGAGTGTCTCCTGATGAGGCTGACTTTTCTCTCCTTCACTTATCGTTGGCTCCATCCTGGGAGAAACAATCCTTCCGGTCTTATCTATACATGAAACCAATATTTGGCGAATTGATGAACTGATTCTGAGTTCAGGTTAACTCCTCCAAATGTTAGACTAAGTCGTGTAAGAGGTTTGCCAGGATAACGTCGAATAGGAAAATGAGCTGTGTAACGATCTTATTATCGGGCAGCCGCAAAAGTTGAAATAGTGGTATAAAAGTAATAAGAGCCAGACTTCCCCATGAGTCAATGGCAATCCGTCGAATAGCTCTCCTCAGAATCAAAGCTAGAGAGGAAGAATCTCTCTGTTAAGCTCATAACTTAGTAGCCAATTTTTGGTGGGGCCATGATGGAGGTACGTACCGCGATAGAGGACTTGAATTTCATTGAGCTCTCCCGAGCCAATGAGAGCAGAGTAATTGGATGACCAACGTCACGTGTTCCTTGTGGAGGCATCTCAATCCTACAGTTTCCATAGCTCGGCTTCAACCTCAGGTCCAAGAAATAAAAGCTCCCAACTCCTCTCCCTCACAGCAATCGCAATGGAGCACCCGTCGAGCGCGAATTGGAAGGCTCACAAGAAGGCCGACAACATTTTCAAGCCTTACGATGTCCTCGATGACACCGCAAAGGCTGGTGTGATCGGTGCTCTCAGTGGTCTCTTCCTCTCCTCCGTCAAGAATGCCATGGCCAAGAACAATGTCGGCATCTTGAGCGTCTTCACCCGAGGTGCTCATATCATCGGTATCGGAGGTACGATAGATGCGGTGGACAAGGCCAATTGGAGGTTTAGCGGTACTAATTGTGTCATATAGCCGCCGCTCCCGCCGCATATGTCTTCGTCTCACGAAGCTCAATGAACCTCCGCGAAAAGGACGACGCCTTCTCTGCTGCTCTCGGTGGCTTCGCCCTGGGTTCAGTTCTCGGCCTTCCCAGTATGACCTGATCTTGTACCTCAAATCACAAAAACCGCATGATTTAACACGCTACAGCGAGACGAATGCCCGTTGTTATGGGACTCGGTGGTGGTCTCGCAATCTTCCAGGGTATGTTCCACTACCTCGGCGGCCGATACGATAGCTTCAAGAGAGAGGACGACGAGTTCGAGCGCAAGGAGATCATCCGACGAAGCACCCGACTGCCAATTGAGCAGACTATTTCAGAGATTGGCGAGGGCCGAGGTAAGTCGCGCACAACGTTTGATGTGGCCGGGCAACTTCTCACACTTTGATAGGCATCCGACCTCCTGGATATGAGGAGCGAAGGGCAGAGCGACTTAGTGCGAAGTATGGTGTTGAGATCAACCCTATTAAGGCGACTGTCGAGGGTAGCCAATAAGCACGATGCGACAAGCGGGCGCACGGGACGGGACGGGAGCGATTGTACATAACTCTTCTGGGCGAGGAAGAGATGCTACACTAGAGAATTGGAGTTTTGTTTTGTTTCCATGTGAAGCTCTGAACTGTGCCAACTCACGCTTGGGCAGTCAGTTCTCTCCTAAAAGGTATGTCATCTGAGCCTTCATTCATCCATCCCTCCCCATTTTGCAATGATGATACACCGAGTCAGAGGCTGTTTATGATCACAATGATTCCAAACCTCACCAATATCTACATCCTGAGCACGATCCCCTATTAATTCGCGTGGTTTTGATGGCGTTATTCTTGTCTATTCACTGACCATGGTAGATTACATTCATAGCTCTCTATCATTAAGGAAATACCCCATGTTACGATATCGCAAGGTAGGTCAAGTGTGTCTCTGTTCTTTTGCTTTGCTATGATGATATACCGAGTCAGAGGCTGTTTATGATCTTAATGATTCCAACACTCACCAATATCTACATCCTGAGCCCCTATTGTCACTTGTATCAAGTCTTTTAATTATTGAATGAATAATACTGACTGCATCAAGACACTAGGCTCCTAATCTACCCATTTACGAAATCATTTCTGTATGAAGCATCGTGGTACGTGTGATTTATTTCATTTTCTCGCATACCGTTCTATGATGATACATCGAGTCAGAGGCTGTTTATGATCTAAATGATTCCAACGCTCACCAATATCTACATCCTGAGAACCCGCTCATTTTATCTTTGTCTACTGCAAGCTCATTTGGATGTGTCGCTAACCCATCCAAGCATAGTTACTCTGGTTTATTCCTCTTTTACGTTTGTCACAAGCGTTTGTCTATCCTGATCTGACTTTACGGTCATCTCATTATTTACGCCAGTATAAGCTAGCGACTTTCTCATTAAATGCGGATTATCTCACGTTCTCAATGTTAACCCTTTTTGAATGTATTCATCCATCCTGTGTCTCGTGTGGGTTCCATTTGCTTTTGCCCTTGATCCTTTCTTTCCAACACAACCGACTTTCAAGCCTGTGATTTTCTCTTCCATCCGTGTTGGACAGATCTCAGACCTTAACAACCTTCAATCCGACTTGCACATAACGTGCGAAGACGAAAAACATACAACCGGCCAGCATAGAACAGCCACAAAACAACTGCAGGCCGAGATAGTCACCATTCTGAGCAGACACGATGGCTCCGGCGATGGGGCTTCCTGTCAGAGCACCAAAAGACGAAACCGCAAACGCAGCGCCAACACGAGTGCCAATCTGGCGAATATCGGAGAGCTGTGCGATGAGAGTCGGGACGAGGCTGATATAGCCACCCGATGAGAACCCAAAAATGACAGCAAATACTACAATGCCGGCGGTATCTTTGACAGGAATCCAGACGCAGAAACAAAAGAGGGCGGATATGAATGTGATGATGATCATGACATTGTATCGACCGATCTTGTCGGCGATAATGCCGGGAATAATACGACCAAAGATACTGTAGTCAAGTCAGTACGTACTGCAAAGCATCGTCTAGAAGGGCCATGACTTACCTCACAGCGTTGAGGATAGGTAGCAGGTAAGGGATCAAAGTCTCGGACATGCCCGCAGCCTGAGCCTGGAGGAGGACATAGTTGAAGGGAAGAAACATGCCCCACATGAAGAGAAAGAAGCCGATAACTGTGATGAGGATGGGGAGTTCGCGGAGACCGTTGATGTATTCCTTGACAACAAAGGGCTTGGAGCGGGGAGGCAGACGCGACTTGACAGTGAGACAAGAGAAGACAAGCAAGACGAGGAACATGAAAGCCATGGTACGCATCATCCAGGGGAAACCGACACTCTGAATCATCTTGTCCATCATGATTGGGAGAACAACACCTCCGAGAGATGAGCCTGAGACCATGATACCGAAAGCGCCAGCTCTATGCTTGAAGAACCATGTGACGAGTGAGGACATGCAAGCGTTGAAGACAGCGCTTGATCCAATAGCTGCGACGATGGACTGTGAGAGGAAGAACTGGTAGTATTCTTTTGACAAAGAAATCATCATGAGGCCGAAGATGTAGGCGATCGATCCGCCCCAGAGAAGATACTTGGGGCCGTAGTTGTCGAAGAGACTGCCAAACTAGGAAGAGGTCAGTTTATTGCTAGATACGAGGAGGATGTGTATACATACAATGGCACCACAGAAGACCATGAAGAACACCTCAACAGAGGTGATCCAGCTCACGGCAGAGCTATCATAGTCCCTAAGCGGTCCAGAAACATAGTATTTCTGAAACACACCCACGCAGTTCACAAGGCCGAATGTGCAGAACAGAGCACACCATCCACCAAAGACAACAAGCCAAGCCTCGAAACCACCATCTGGGAAATCACCTGGTGCCATTCCTGGTGGAGGGCCTGCTGGCGGTTGCTCCTGTTTCTTCTCATCATCGTCGCCACGCTCGAGATCAGCTGCAACGGCGTTGGCAGGTTCTGGATGTATGTTGGCTTCTGTCTTGGTCGTAGGTTGAGGAGCTGACTTTTCAGGGTCTGTTGAAGTGGTTGGTTGGAGGTTTCTGTCATTGACGGTCTCGGAGGAGGAGGATATCGTCGAACGAGCCATGATGATGGTTGTGTAGGTGTAAGCTGAGATGTAGGGCGAAGAAAGGGAAGTATTATTATTGTATATTGCGTGTTACTGAAGCTGCCACTAGGCCATGATATGTCATGTCAGTGCTAACAAGTGTAAATCATTGCTGTGTAGTGATTGTATGGCTCAGTCCAACATGGGCAGAACCTTTATAACTATTAAATAAGTCGCCCTCTGTAAATCTCACCGTCTTACATCTACCTACCTATGTACTATGCTGTAATATATGATCTATATTAGCTATAGTAGTGGGGTAGATCTCCCGTTGTTGAAACCAATACCTACGGAGTAACGTGCCTATCCTTGCACCATTAATCGGTGTTCGTCCTTGGCGGAGGTGATAAATCCGTCCAAGTGTGGACCAGTATCGGCTTTAACAAGGGTGCTCTTTGCTTATTTCGTCCGTTATCACACAACTCATACCTAGGTACATATCGTAGTCTCATAAGGCTGGTCTCACTCTGACATTGGACTTAACTCAAAGCCGAGTCGCGAGCTGTCTAAGCCCAAAGCGTGGCTGGCATCGGAAATCATCCAATAATTTCGAGCCATGGTAACATACGAGGGCTCCTTTCGAGCCTACATTATTAATACAAGTTGAAAAGGAATGGTTTGTCAGATAAGTTGGCTGCATGAGATGAGTCAGTGATCGTCGTGCGTTTTAGCCTGTTGTTGAGCTATCTCCTATAGGTAGGGAGGGGCCAGACTTAATAGACCGCTCGGATCCGATGCGAGAATTGATTAGCCCGTCCATCAAAATACCGGTATCTACCTACCAAGTGACATGCGCTGTTATTACGCTTATGGTGCTGGCTGTGCCTCTCCAGGACTCAAGCCACAAACTTGAGTATGAGCCGAATTCCCGATCACACCAATCAACTATGAGCTCTTCAAATATCTCAGTATTGATACATAAAGACTTCAGCTCTATGATGGATAGTATAGGTAGGGAAGTAATCATACATGACAAACAAAACGTTGTGTTGTGTAAAAGTCTCCTGCTCATCTGCCTCCTTTTTTTTAATTCATGCTCTGCAACATCGCTCACTCATATCACATTGCTCCTCGTCTGCACATTCTCATCGTATGAACTCCTTGAGATCTTTGCTGTCCTCGAATTTTACCTTGCCATCCTTCTCAACTGTGGCAACGTGAATCCCCGTCACTGACTTGTCTTCCACTTCTGGCTCAACAGCCTTGACAGGGGCAGGCTTGGTCTCGATACCGTCAGTCAGCTTGGGCTTGTTCTTCAAGTCGAGGGCTTTTGCCAGGACACCGGGCTCGGCATCAGCAATCTCGTTCACTTGCTTGTTAGTGAGAACATCTGAAGCGCGCACTCCTCGGCTAGACATTAGGATCTTTGTAGGGCCATGAAATTGGAGGAAAAGGCGATCACCCCAGATGGTTCGTCGAGTAGCGGTTCGCATGCTGTAGAAAGCTCTTGCTAGGTACTTCCATACCTCCGAGTTACGGACAGTCTTCACCCACTCAGGCTCTGAGATCCATCTCGATAGCGAGGGCACCTGGAGTCGTAGGCTGTTGCTCTTGAAGCGGAAAGGCTGTGGCGGATATCGGCTGATCGAGTAGGCGACAACGCTTCCGGGGTGCGCGACAAACTCCTCTCCCTCTTTGAGAGTGAGCTCGTAGATTTGTCCTGGTGCTGATAGAGCAGCGAGACCTCGTCCCGTAAGGAGTGTGTTGCCCCAATGGGCCAGTGTAAGGCTGCTCTGGATGCGCGCCGAGGGCGCAAGAGTGTGTCCTGTCCACGCCAAAAGGGCATTCCTCTGTGAGACCATCCAATCTGTGGTTCCGTCAAGGTGGAGGACTGTAAAAGTGGTTGTAGGTGACTTGGTCGATATCAAGGCTGTGATGGGTGTCGTGGCTGAGATGCGCTGGTAGAGAAAGGGGACGCCGAGAAAGGCTCGAGTGATCGGGTTGAGGATCGAGAGTGTGGACTGGGCCTGTTTATCGTATTAATAAGTCTTTTCTGTATATCTTTGTCGTGATGTTGCGTACATTTTCAGGCTTGCCGGCCACAGCAACCAAGGTACCCCTCCGAGTATAGAGCTTCTGCGACGCCGACAACGTCACGGAAAGGAGCGAATATGGGGAGCCCAGAACCTCGAATCGAGCATCTAAACATGTAAAGGGTCAGAGACTCGCTTCTGTCATGGCTCAATGGCACGGAGAAATCATACCCGCAGGATCCCTTGCCTCAAGAGCTCCAAAGGCATCAGCTCCAACCTTTGGCGCTTCAGTGCTCGGCGCAGCGCTGATCTGGATACTCCTACACTGCGTGCAGGTATACGAGGGTATTGCCCGCAGCCGTAGTCCTCGTGCCGCTCTCGTCAAGGGCAATTGGCCTCGCATTTTGTTTGGATATATGAGCTCTGAGAGAGCTGTACAACTTATATATCTACCACCTCACATTCAACTCAAGCCATGGATGGAACCTTAACCCGCTATCACCAAAAGCGAATCAGTCTTGTTAGCGGCTTTTCCCGTTCCCACACTTCATGTCACGTGCGGCTCCGTTGCTGTGCCAACGCCCGTGCTTTCTTCCTCATTTCACTAGACCGCTACCCATGCCATCTCTCTCTATAGCAAATCTTTGCTAACTTTCAGGACGTGGTAGCGGCCAGTTTGGTAGGCTGACAGAGTCCGACTCAACGACACCTTGAGCTTCTTCGCCCTCACAACCAATACAATCCTCTCGATACCGAATACACGTGTATACATTCATAGTACTTACACAATGAGTGTGAGAGTGGTCTCCAGGATAAGACCGCTGCTGGAAAAGGAGCGCGAATGTGACATTATTGTTCGAGCCGATACCGCGGATGCTGGCAAGCCAAACACGGTCGTCAAGATTCCCAACCCCAAGAACGAGGCTGAGGAGTTCTCATTCGCGTTCAATGGCGTGTACGACCGATCTACCACTCAAGAGGAATTGTTTACTGCTGAAGGTGCGATCTTATAAGCTAACGCGTTTTGTTTCATCTTGTTTTCGTTTACTACCTCTCGTTCATGCTCATATCGTATCGTGTGTTGACTCGAATAGTGGCGCCGCACGTCAAGTCTCTCTTCCAGGGATTCGATGTCACAATATTCGCCTACGGTGTCACCGGTACCGGTAAAACACACACGATGCGAGGCGGTATGAAGCTGGCAGATCGCGGGGTGATTCCTCGGATGCTCAGCAACGTCTTTCGAAGAGGCAAGAAGATCATGAAGGATTCTCGTGGTGAGACGGATGTCCAGGTTTTGCTGTCCTACTATGAGATCTATAACGACAAGGTCTTTGATCTCCTCGAGCCACCCGAGAAGCGAACGCCAACCGGCCTACCACTACGAGCTGAGGCCAATGGCAAGACCATCGTTGTCGGTCTGTCAGAAAGAGCCTGCGAAGACCTCAAGGACTTTGAGAAGCTGTATATCGAAGCCAACAACAACCGCGTCACGGCAGCTACCAAGCTCAACGCTCACAGTAGCCGCAGCCATGCTATTCTACGAGTCAAGCTAATCCAAACGACTTCAGAGATGGTCAGGGAGAGCACAGCATCCGCCATTGACTTGGCCGGATCTGAGGACAACCGCCGAACCGACAACGGAAAGGAGAGGCTGGTGGAATCTGCGGCCATCAACAAGAGTCTCTTTGTCCTGAGCCAGTGCATCGATGCTATCGGCCGCGGTGACAAGAGGATACCCTACCGGGAGTCCAAGATGACACGGATTCTGTCACTGGGTCAGAACAATGGAATCACTGTCATGATCTTGAATCTGTCCCCTCTGCGAAGTTATCACCTCGACACCCTCAGCAGTCTCAACGTCAGCTCTCGAGCCAAGAGGATTGAGGTTAGGGAGATTGAGAACGAGATTGTGTACAAGCAAGTTCCTAGGGCAAACTCGGGTCTCACAGGTTCCAATGTCCAGCGTCAGCCTCTTCGGCCACTTGCCAATCTCACCAACGTGCACAATGGTAATGTTGCTGCCAAGGCCGCTGACAAGGCTGCTGATGCCAATAAGCCCGTCAAAGCCTTCAGCGTCTACACTGACAAGTCCAAGCCACCAGCAGCACCTGTCAGCCGTCCCCTAGTGAGCTCCAATATCGCTCGTCGAGTCAATCCAGTCAAGCGGCCGTCTGAGAATGATGCCGCTATGAGACCCAGTAAGATCTCGAGACCTACAGCTCCAGCATCTGTTACGGTTTCCGCTGCCCAGATTGAGGCCATGGTTGAGAAGAAGGTCAGCGAGATCCTTGCTGCTCGCGTTGCAGCTGAAAAGGAATCTCAGCCACCACCAACGGTCCAACCTGAAATCAGTGATGCTGTGCAAAGGCGATTGGAAGCTCTCGAGCGGCGGATTGACAGCGATGAATGGCGAGATGATTCCAAGTCGGATGGTTTGAGGTTCCTCCTGGCTGCTCGCCAACACAAGGAGCGTGGCGAGGATGAGATCGCGCTCAAGATGTACGAGAAGGCTCTACCCTACTTTCCTGGACAAACAAAGCTGCTCAACAAAATCGAGAGACTGCGATCACGGTTGAACGGAAACGCTCCCGCTCCTTCTCCCCGCCGGGAAACTCCTCGTTCAGAGCGCAAGAAGCGAAGGCTCGTCTACGATGATGCTGACGGCGATTACGAGACTGCCGAAGCAGACGTTGATGAGGCAGAGTTTGCTCGCCGTGCCCCAAAAGCCAAGTCTCGAAAGCTCAAGGTCAAGGCTCTTGCCACCAAGTCCATTCTTTCGGGTGACGATGAGGGTCCCGCATCGCCTCGAACTCAGCATCTCCTCGATATTGTCAACTCACGCGACCTCGATCAGATTCGAAGCCTAGTCGGCTTCGGTGCGAAGAAAGCCCGTGACCTAGTTGACTATCTTGAGCTCGTCAACGATGACGAGGCTGGTGGCCGTATCGACAGTCTTGCTCAGCTGAGGACTGTCCCTGGCATGGGAAGCCGAACCGTGGAGAGAGCGTATGACGGACTTGTTGTTTGAGCGTGGCGTAAGTTGCTTTACGCCCGGAGATGGGATGGGCATCCAATGCTTTTGGTCTTATATCATAGCCGTATACCCCCCTGTTTTGTTCGAAGTTGATGGATGCATTGGAAAGCGAGGGGAGTTCATGGAGTTTGGGTGAGTTGAATTTATACAAAGGTTGCATGGAAGGCAGTGGTAAAAGGCTGTCATTTAGGTGTTTGTTTGTTTATTCATTAATCGGGTTCCAAATTGCACTACATCTTGTGTCCAAGTAATACTGACTTGCATTATGCTGTATTCCATGTGCATCGTTTGTTGTAGGGTCAATGGACTGTGAAATGGGACTATCATGACTGAACCACACTTACACACTGCCCGCGAAGAAGGTAAGCTTGCTATCGCCAACCAGTAATCAATGTCCTGTTTTAAATATTGCTTTAATAATAAATAAGCCCTCTAGGAGCTATCGCATTTCACTTGGTGGGACGAACTTCAAAAGCTATGGTGTATCTACAGGGTAGCCTACCCTTGATACTAATGTTTAGATATCCATAAGATGGTAGGTAATGTTAGGACTTTGTATTCCTTGCTTTAAACGACATTCTTTGACTGAATTCTGCAAATTCTTGTCAACGATTCGGTTCATTATGGAGCATAAACCAACCCATAAACATGTTACTGGTATGGGCTGCAGACATTCATGCATACATAAGAAGATAAGACGACACGAGACAACACAGCCACTTACACCGTAAACGTATTTTATGCGTTGACCAAGGAATTTAGGGACGATCGCACCACATGAAACCACTTCTGTCACTTTAGGTTTGTGCATAGCCACTGGCGTTTGCATTATTTAACGTCTCTGCCGACCCAAACTTAGACGATCCAATGATTTGAGACATGTAGACGCTAGAAACCGGCTGCCGAAGCCTTGAGTTTCGTGTAAGAATGCATGTGACCAAATGCATCAGCATTATTGTATATATTTATGATCATCATTAAAGATGTCTTCTTATTCGCAATCGTGTTGTGTGAATCTGACAGTAAAACAGACCTTGTTTTAGGAATCTGAAAACCTGAGACACTGACATAGCTCGCAGATCCACGGAAATTAAAATTCGATGCCACATCTCGTATCGATCAAGACTTGTTTCATCCCCATTCGTCATAGACAGCAGCAAGGTAGGTAGGTAGGTTGCAAGTTAAGCGTTTGAACATGATATTTGTTTGCATTCGTTGGTACCTCACTCAGGTCAAAGTCCATAAGCCCATATCCTCCCATAAAACTCGCCTGCAATACTTTTTGTTGTGTTATGTACAGATTGCAGCGCCTGACAGTTGCCTGTCAGCTCTAGAAATAATGATGCAACAACCAATCCCAAGCTGTTCCCGTAGGAAGCTGAGTAGTAAGGTGCAGAAGCAGCAATAACAGCAAAAAAGTATAAATCAACGCCATAGAAGGAAAATTAGGTAAAAATGTCGGTGATGACCGATGCCACGTCCAGCCTTGCAAAGCTCTGCAGTCCGTAGCCACCCCAGATATCCAAATTGAAGCCTCTCTCAAGGCTCCAGAGTAAAAAGGGGGGAGAGAAAGCATGTGGGACGGAAAAGTAACCAAAGTAACAAGTCGTTAAACAAGGCCCCATGGCTGGGCACACAACCCAACCACAATAAAATGTGAGGTAGGTAGTGAGTGATGCGATCCGATGTTGTAACGTGTACCAACAAAATTGGGCGAGTTTCGTCGTAGGGAAAACCTCGAATGAATTGGGGGTATCCGTTAAGTCCAATTCGTTCATCAGATGGTCTCCCGTCTCATCTCATGTATTCCAATCCAAGCCGATCCGTCCCCGTCTCTTCTCAGCTCATCTCATCTCATCGTGTCCGTTGCTTACACGCTGTAGCTATGCGCCTGCTACGCCTGCGCCTAAGCTGTAACCATCGCTTGGCGCCAATACCGTCAATCATAAAAAAAGAACATCGCGTGATTTTTTTTAATTGTTTTGTCTTTTTTGTGTTGGTTTGACTGTCCAAGAATTGACTCATCGGATCATGCTGCTCCGTCGCTCTTGGATGCTGGGCATCTGCTTGTTGCTTGAGCCTCCAAAGTGAGGAATGGAGCTGAAGCGATTCAGACGCTTACGCTCAGCAGTAGCCATAGGTGGTTGTTGCTGGTGCTGCACCTCAGAAGGGAAGTGATGCTCATCGATGCCCACGCTTGAGGGGCCGGGCATAGAGCCAACGCCGGCCTTGTCTCCGTGCAGGGCATCGATGTTTGAGGAACCGGAGGAGGAGCCAGTGCTGTTGGGAGTCTGGTAGACGTACTCTCCATCAACGTAGACAGCGTTGGAGACGAAGGTGGAACGTCGGTGACGGCGGCGGGTGTAGCGTTGCTCGAGACGGAAGAGCTCCAGCTTGGCCTGGATCTTGTCCATGAGAGACTTGCCCATTTTTGCGGTGGATGTATCAAGTTTTAGGTGGTGCGTTCAGAAGAGGTGAGATTGAGCCCGTGTATATTTAAGGGCGATCAGTTCGGATCTCTCGGTGAGATTCGAGGACGCGGCGAGGGAGGCTGGCTTCGTAATGGAGGAGTCGAGGATGTGGAGATTAAGTTTCCAGGTATTCGTACTGCAATCAATGCCGTACGCTTTCGATTTGTACCGAGTGAAAATGTTTCGTCTCGGGGGATTGTGTGTCTTGTGCTGTCCTTGAATTGACCCTGATCATAAAGGGGGAGGCAATTGTTCGTCTTGACTGGGTATTGGTGTTTGCACTATATGGTCACCAGCAGCAGGTCAAGTCAAGTACTGATGTAAGTTGCTCGGCTGTTTCGGCGATATCGAGGTTGGTTGGACAGTAGTATTAAAAGAGAGTAGGGGACATTAATAGCTTGAGCAAGAGGAAGCAAATCGCCTGGAGTTATGTTTCCTTGTCCACGAAAGAGATCCGAGTCAAAAATGAATGAGTGGATGTGAATGAGAGCGGGAGACTGGGGGTAGAAGAAGGATTACGATTGCGACAGGTACAAGGAACAGGGAGAAGAACGAGGGGGGGAGGATTGGATGGAAGATAAGACTCAAGGTTGAGGTCCAGTGCTGAACATGCATCCAGCATGGGCCGGGCCCCTGAAGAGTTAGTTGTCTAGTGGAGGGGAGCACACCGGGGACAGTAGCCCGCAGGTACCTAACTTTAGAGAGTTAGTGGAGTCTGTAGCGCGTAAGACGTCTGACTGACTCTCTCCACTGGGGACAGACGACAGTGGCATCTCGAGCTGAAGAGTATGCTCTCATTCGTCGACCCGCCCAGAGTCCCAAGAGGATGCACCCAACAGGGGAGGCCCGGAAAGTGGGTTTAGCCTAGACAGGGGATGCTAATTGGAACTGGTCGCGTGAAAGTGGATGGATGTGTCAAGGGTGCCATGCGACCGAAAAGCTTTTGGGGAGCAACCTGCAGATGCTTGAGGGTTGAGGCCCCCTGAAAGGTAACGTTGATGGTCATTGAGTGATTCTCTGTCCTTGATTGAGCCTTGAGGAGTGAGGAGGCTGGCTAAAGCTTGCCTCGCGGCTCTTGACTTGGGAAAACAGAGCACAGAGTCTTGAAGAGGCTGGAACATGAGGTGGAAATCACTGCAACCATCAGTCACTGTGCTTAAAAGCCATGATAATCTTGCACACCAACTTGTCAAAGCTTTCCCCTATCCTCCCGCTGACGGCCCGTCAAAAGGCGTTTGGTTTGTTCTTTGTCCTCAGCTCACTCATCCAGTGAAGAAAGAAACCCACACTCTTTGTTAATTATTAGATCAAAAGCTAACAAGGTAGCTATTATTCCATCTAGCTCGGACCTCAGAAGACCAAGTCTGTTCCCAACGCCGGCGGAAGCGCTAAAAGGCATACCAGCATGATTGCGTCGTTGGCGGGTTGACATTTTTGACGCAGGGGGTGCCTAGGTGCATGCGATCCCCAGTTCAGAAAGAGGAGAAGGAGTTTGCAGAAGCTGGTTTCGTTTTATGCCGAACACGAACGAGGTTCCATTGGTTCCTGACATGGAAACGCAGTATCTGGGGCTTCCACGCGAGAAAGGAAGCCAAAATGGAAGTGGTGGGAAAGGAAATGGGCATGGAAACCGTCAAACCACATGGTTTCTGCGAGTCAGTATCCACACTCTATTCTAAATGTTGATCCTAGGTTGCAACCGTGGGACGATCCGACTCAGAAAATGTCATCCGCAGAGCATGTCTTTCAGCTCGTCGATCAGCCGAGATTAAGACGAGATTTATATGATTTTCATATCATATAGATTTCCCCAAGAAATGATCAATTGTTGCTCACAATATTCCAGAGAATCAATATCTCCTGCAGCCCATCCTCGCCCTCTCCATAGCGGCGAAGTGAACCAGGCCCCCTTGTTGGTCTCCGGTGAGCGAGCATGGTTGGTTCATTGGACATGCTGTATCGGGTATGGCTTCTCTGCACGAGCTGCACGTTTTTTCTGCAGCGCCGCTTAGTAGAAACAATCGGTTCATCCATTACGCGATCTCCTTTCTCGTCCTCTTGCCCGGCTATCACTGATAGTTTTAGCCTGTTGCTTGCTATTCATCGACAGAGTTTTAACCACCATGAACAAAGTGGCGCAGCTCACGGCTTCTAGACCGATGAGCTTGGATGAGAATACTCCGTACTTGCAAAGGTTTCTCTTCGCCGTTTCAAGCCAAAAACGTGCAAAGATTGACTACTTTGGCCATGTGGCTTGGCTTGGGATTATCACAACGAGTCAGGTAGACCGGCTGAGAGATCGTCAGGCACGGACTCGGATCCGGCTCAAGCTCTGGCCAGTTAGAGTTGATAGAAACAATAAGAGCGAAGCTCATTTTGGTTAATGAATAGAAACTTTGGTGATCTATTGCTTGTTAGTGCATTTGTCGCTTAGTAGAGAGCCTGGCTCTTGGAGGTGTTTCAAGAAATTACTGTTTATGATCAAGGTTGAATTCGGAGCCTGCAGTCGAGAAACGGTAGATT